AAACTTCAGTCAGAAAGGGAAACTCCTTCGTAGGAGACTTTCACATCCGAGGCTGCACCTCCGTTCTCTGGGTATAATTCCGTCTGCTTTCAAAGATTGCTAAATGAGGGCTCAAGTTTTTCCCTCGATGGCCGATTCGGGCCCGGAAGGTCGATAGCTGAGAGCTCTTGCCGCTCCCCTCATGAACAGCGCACACGGAGCATTCGAGGCGAGATCCGTAGCTTGATCAGAGCAGCGATATCGAAACCCATCAGCGCGAGCCGAGCACCACAACGATCGGATCAGTGAGAAATTCTCGGAATCAGAAAGCCGAGACCATATCAAAACACTTCAGGAGCGACTGCGGGGCCGGGCCCTTCGTCGGGGAGCGGAAGTTTCGGACCGACAAGTCGATCATGATGTGCAATTACGGCAGACTGGGCTGTAACTGGGATTACTCGAGATCAAAGCCCCGAGTTTACTTACGTGATTTCATTCGACCGGAACAGAGAATCCCGCGTTGCAGGCGGCTGGGGCAATCCAGCCCACGCCTACTTAGCCGCGGACAGTCGTCATCAGCCCGAGATCTTGATCCTATCACCGAAACCTTGGTAGCTCAGGGTAAGCAGGGGTACCAAGTCGGGTCCGAAGTTGGCGGTGCCTCTGCAGCGACGAGAATCGCTGGGACTTTAAATCCAAGTTCAGTAGAGATCGCTCCTGTACGAAGCGATGCCTCTCCCGCATGGATTTGCGATATTTCTTAAGATGTAATCTGTTAACGGACCTGAGACAGCTCGGAATCTATTCGGTAGGTTAACGTCGTGCCCTTCTACTTCGGCACTTCTCATTGAGGACAACATGAAAGTGACGTCGCTGCACTAACAATTTGCCAGCGATGTCCTCTTGATGTGAATGAGCGTCAGTAAAGAATCAGGAGAAATCTCTTATCTTGTGCTAGCTATATCCCAGCCCGGTACTGATTGTCGGTCTCTGCTCCGAGTACTGAGAGAAGCCTGCGTGAAACCTCATCGATCGAGGGACGGACTCCGGGAAGTAGCCCGAGTATATTTCCAGTTCGTTTCCCAGACAAAATCCGAAACCTCTTCCTTTCGCACCCTTGAAGCCCTCTTTCGGAGGATTCTATCCTCGGGCCGCACATTGGGATGATGCTCGTTACGCGAAGTCTGCTTAGCGGTTGTTCGGGGCCTATACTCTCGATTCGCTTCTGGCGGTGGCTCATCCAATAAATTCAAGTATCTAGTCAACGATCTTCCTTTCCAGGGGAGCCGCTTGCCTCACAACGGATCGGTGGGCTCTGTCAATGATCCTTTTGGACAGTCCCTGAGGGGTCAACCCGCTCCGAGATAAAGCTACGACAAACTGAATGATCGCGGAGTCCAGCTCCAGCGCGTGCTCCGTCCCCTGAAGGCATCATTAGCACTTCTGACCTGTGCGAGGGGAAGCCCTCCGCGTGGATCGTCTCGAGGGTCAACTTGGACATCTATCTATCCTTTCGACAGTGTGTCGGGAATGGTACTCCTCTACCTCAAGCTTTGTCTTATACTTTCCGTGCACCCCTCGTCAGAGTTCTCGGACAAGCGAGAAGAACTCGATCCGATGAAACTTGTGACCACACTAGAGAGAACAGCTTTGCAGATGGGCGTCAAACCAACTTCCCTGCTGCTTGCGGATATTTCAGCGATTCTCGTTCAAGGAAGCGTCAATATGAGGTCTAGTTTGCTGACGTTTGGCCTCAAGTATGAGAGTCGCGGGTACCTTCGAGAAACACACGCGCAGTTCCTCGACGTGCTGGCCTCGCCTCTGAAAGTTATCTGCCTGATGACGCACGAACTATACATGATAACGAATCAACTTGACGATTTTGAGCGGAACATCCGATACAAAGGCTTGTTCCTCGTCATCGCGAGCACGCCGACAGAGAATCCGCTCTTTGCAGTCCTCCTCAGAAAGTCACTATTCAATACGATCATTTGGTCGGGAAATGAGATCGTAGGGTCTGTATGCTGCCCGACTTTCGACAATCTAGTCGCAAAGAAATATTTGAAGTCGGTCACACTTTGTGAACCCCTCCTGTGCCGCCTACGAGAGGTTCAAGTGAAAATGTTCAAATTTGCCGGATCAAAAATCACTAAAGTCATTATAATCCTGCAATGCAATGTCACGGAATTTGAAGTCATGTTTGGCTGTGGAAAAAAGACGGCGCGGTACGGATACTATCGGCACCACCCGATCAGTCGATGGGACCTTTTCGAAATACCGTCCAGCGAGTGCTACTCCTACATAATTATCGGGTCCGCGGATGCTTCGGCGCTACTTAGACCCTTCGATACGGGTACGTGGAGCTTGATCATACTCAGCGCTATCGTCATATCTTTGGTGTGGTCGTCGATGATTCGAGGATCTTGTTGGGAAATTCTATCCCACATTGTCGTAAGATTCGTAACTGCCCGGGAGATCAACATCGAATCGAAGAATTGCGCCAATACGATCATTGGCTGCACAGCGCTCGCCTTTACCTTATTGATTGGAATACTCTACTCTAATTGCGTGATGTCCGTGTTCTTGGATCCGACCCCCCTGCTCCCAGTCACAGATGATTGGTATAATTGTCTATCAGATATGTATTGTGAGCGAGTAGACTACATACAGGAAATTTTGTCTTACGTGCCCGTGTGTCGCTTCCCTCCAGCTTTTCGAGGAATGGTCGACAGACCCCTCGGCCGATTCCGTCCGATCGTGCACGAAGAGCCATTTTACGAGGGTGTGGAGTCTATGCCTCATCTAGGCACCAAACTCAAGCAAATTCGAATGGGTGCACTCTGGACCAGCAGGATCTTCGATCGAGTTCTGCAACACGGTGTATTAGCTTGGCAGAGAATCGAGCTGCTCGATATATACGGGAGGAAGGTCGAGAAACCAGCCCTCCAGAAAATGCGAGAAAGGACAATCTGGTCCGTCTTCATATCACGGTACAGCAATAGGGCCAGAATCGATCGAGAAGCCGCGACCTTCAACGCAACAAGGGGGTTGTTCGATTTTGAGAGCCTGGTGAAGATTGGACCGGTTTTCAGTTCAGCTTTAGCATTGATCTCAGTTGTCGGATGTTGCGAGATTATCCGTGCATCAGAATTCAAAAGGACTCGAATACTATTTTCAAGGATGCTCGCCGCCGCTTCCAGAGCTCGGGGTTGCACAGAAGAACGGTTGCCTCGGCGTTCTTCCGTGTCCTCCGAGAAAACAACGCTTCCCCGGCACGCTCCCCTCCAACGAGGCTTGCAGCAAGGATGCTGGACGATCACGCCGCCTGAGTGTTCTCTCTCGCCGATCGAGCGCCATGGCTTTGGCGAATCGTTTTGCTCTGCTTTCCGATGATCCTCAACTCGACTTCGAAGCTTGGAGTTCAAGGCTTCGCATGAGCAATGTTTCATCAGAGATGCTCGGGTGAAACATCCAGAGAAAATGAAATAAAAAACCGCTCGTTATGATTTCCGAATCATGGATTTCAATTCATGACGATCAGGTATCAGATATCGAGATGCTAAATTACAATTGAACGTCTTTGCCCTTCCCTCATCTCTCTCATTCCGGGGCCGAGTTCATGGAAACTGCAATCGTATTCCTTCGGGAGGGGTACGAGGACAGGGGAGTCTTTCCCCTGTCAGTCGAAGCATCCGATTCAGAGTGTCAGCGTCAGAACTCCCCTCCCGACTTAAGCGATAAATGGTGGGAAATGAGGTAGCTAAGCTTCCCATCATGGGCGGCTGAGATTTAATTCCACAAAATCGAAGCGAGGATTCCGGTATCCTCACAAAATTCTAGGAACGGTTTCCATTGCTTCTTTCGATAGTCGAGAGCTGGTAATGCTGAGTGAAGATATCGTTCCTCGGGAATTGTTGGGGGAACGGAGACTCTGATCAGTGGCGTAGCTAGGGGGGGAGGCGGGGGTTATCGAACCAGGGCATCTGGGCGCAGGTTCTCGGGGGCACAGTTTTCGACCTGGACAGACACAACAACGGCCATTTTTCGGGATAGTTTCCGTGAAGCGGCGCCATTTCGGCGGGATGGACTTGGAAGAATCCGGATTTCCGGACAGAAGGAGCGCTTTGTTGGACGAGCGATGGCCGGGACGGCCGAAGCTCTGGAATCCACGAGTCCGCCCGGGACGCCACTTTGAATAGCTACGCCGCAGAGTCTGATGAACGATGGACCGCATCTCGAGGCCACAAGTCTATAATTTAATGATTAGAACTCAAAGGAGGAGACTAATGAACAGTTTTTCGGACATTCGTTGAAAGGCTCTTTGCAGAACGGGTTCGATTTGCTAAGAGTCCGTATCAGGTCTCTCTTTCACTCGATCAGGTCTCGATCGCTACGTTTTAGCCTCCGCCCCCGGGGACTCCTGAACTTTGGCCTAGCTCGATATCGAGATTAACTCCTTTCTCCGATTTGATAACTCCCCGTGGGGGGAAGCCGTCGCGTCGGTTCTCTGTGAAGCTCAAAGCGCCCTATGATATCACTCGTGTGCTCCGTATAGCATGAGCGTGCCTGCGATGAGATCAAGACCACACATGCGTCTCTCGATTCGCCTGGTCTCTTTCCGGAAGCGTGGAGTCTTTTTCTGATACCTTATCATAATTCTTAGAAATCATCTTCACGTGCAGATTCTGATGCAGAGCCGCATCACCGGGGAATCAAATGCTAGATAAGCGTTCAGACTTCACCTCGCGTCCTCTCCGACAATGATCCTCACCCCTACCCGAAGTTTCTATTTAAACCCCGGTCTTCTCTGAAGAAACCACTGTCTCGGAAGTTATACTTCAAGTCATAGCTTTGCTCTCTTCCCGTTGAGTCCGAGCTGGTTTGAAAACGACTCCTCTCCGGACCCTAGCACCTTTGTTTTCTCACCAAAAACACGGAATCGGCTCTTTCTATCCCGAATTCGAACGGAAACGGAAACCTTTTCTTTTCTCTTGAGAAGTTGAAGTGCTGTGGTCTCGAAGATGTCGAACGTCGAGCTCTCGGTCTTCCAATTGGAAGCCAATCGAAATTATGAGACCGAAATCTACGGCGTCCCCAAAGGTAAAGAGCATCGCTAGTGATAGAGATCATTCAAGGGCAATAGAGATTATTCCGTGCAGTCAAGTTTATTCCTTCCCTCGTCCTTCAGGCTCCACCATTCGCTTCACTTTGGGACCTTCGCTTTACGGCCACGATGTCTCGCTTTTCATCAATAACCCACCAAAGGATGACGTTCCTTTCGTGCGAACATCATACCGCCGATTGGATTGGGACTTCCATTCCGCCAAATACGCTGACGAGGGCAACGCTTTCGTCGATTGCAAGTTTTCCTCGTCAGGAACTTTCAGATTCTACATAAGCCTCGACGATAGGTGAGATTCCCTATCCTGGATAGAAATCTCGTCTCCATCTGGAATCATTCTCGCAGAATGCCAGATAATAGGGCACGATGGTTTTATAAGCTTGAACTTTATTCGTGTTTGCAGCAAAGAAGAAAGCTCATCAGGCTACATCTTGGTGAATCCCCGGCTGACATTACAAGGGAATCCTCTGCCGCTGGACGGCATCCAGTGCCAAACGGTCCTCTCGAAGTGTTTAGGACCCTTTGAAGACTGGGAGAAGAGAATCGCTGTTTCGGCTGCGGCCGGATACAACATGGTCCATTTCACGCCACTTCAGGCTCTGGGCGGATCAAACTCCGCGTATTCTCTCAGAGACCACATGGCGCTCAACGAAGCCTTCAGGTCGCATGACTTGACTCCGACGTTCGAGGATGTGAAACGCTTCACTCGACTGATGGAGACAGATTTTAAGGTACTTTTGCTGCTGAACTAGACTTGGCTTTGTCGGCACCTACCGAATAGGGCGTCTCTTGGAGAAATCCCTAACGGTTATTGATATGGGACTGAGTACGCCATTGCAAACCGACGAGTAGTCGAGTCTTCGGCGAGTCTTGTGCTCTCCGCGGGAATGTCGATAACCCTAACCAGGCAATAGGCGGCATTCGGATCGTCCTGCCAGACGGAGCTCTACCCTATAGTTGGGATCATTGATCGAACGCTTTTCTAACGGCCTTGATTTCGATAGCTACTCTCCCTGACTGACATCGTGCTCAACCACACGTCAAACGAAACCCCGTGGCTCCGTGAGCATCCAGAATGCTCCTTCAACGCCCTGAATTCACCACATTTGAGGCCGGCCATGCTCCTGGACCAAGAGATCTACCTTTTGTCGATGCGAGCGATGAGAGGAGAAACCCAATCAGTCGGTATCCCGACTCATATAACTCAAGAATGGCATGTTCAGGTGAGTTGAATACAACCACTCAGCCTTCTCCGTGTTCGATCTCTGCGCTATTCATCTCTCTCGCTGCGGCTCTCAACTCGAGAATAATATTCCAGGCTGTTGAAAACCAACTCCGACACGTCATAGTGCCTGGACTCAGACTCCACGAGTTCTACATCGCGGACATTGACGGTCTTGTTAAGAAATTCGAGGGTAAGAGCTTTTGTAGACTCCAATGGATCTCTTAAGTGTTTAGTGCTTGGAATGCATCTGATGCTAATGGAGAGATCTCTTCTGCAGAGTGTCCGCAAGCGGCGGCGACATCGAATTCGCACACTGTGTCGATGTTCCAGACATATACGCGATTCGGTGCCAAATGCGACATCACCGAAGCTCGGAGAACCTTCCGGAATTCTGCAGATTTCCGGAGCTTCCTCGAGATGTTCAATTCAAAAGAACTTCGGAGATCGCAAGATCATCTGAACAACGCCGTCGAAAACGTTGTCAAAGGACTGCGTTATAGCAAAGTTGAACCTTGGGGCCCGAAAGAACATGAGATCACGAAGAATTCGCCCCTCATTGTGAGGTGAGCGATTTCTAGGGAAAGAGAGTCTTCCTAAATATTTCGTTGTATCATTTGGTTGTACATATGTACTCAGGTCTTCTTGATTCCAACAGATATTTCCTACCGAACAACGACTCACTTTCGGACGAAATCAGCGCCGCGGAAATGGAAGCCTGCTTTCAAAATGAGAAAGGGGCTTACATCATGGCTCATAACGGCTGGGTCATGGGCGACAATCCGCTTCGCAACTTCGCCCTCGAAGGTGAGTTCCCCGAGATCACACGCAGAGAAGTGGGAGGTCTCAAACGAGATCTTCGAATTCGACCGGAGAAACTTCATTTCTGCTAACTCTTGAGTTTCATTCCAGGCTCGATGGTTTATCTCCGCCGCGAGCTCATTGCGTGGGGCGATTGTTGTAAACTAAGATACGGCGAAAGTCCAGCCGACTGTCCCTTCCTGTGGGACTACATGAAGAATTACGTTCAGAGCAGCGCCGAAATCTTTCACGGTCTTCGTCTGGACAATTGTCACAGCACGCCGATTCATGTCGCAGAGGTTCGACCCGTAATATTCACAAATGAAGCATCTCGAGCGTCCATTATGAATTTTGACCTCCCAATGCGAACATCCGAACATTAGGGAATTGTAGCAAGGATTTTTCTCATTCCAGTATCTTCTTGACGCCGCTCGTTCGGTCCGCAACGACCTCTACGTAATCGCAGAGCTGTTTACGTCGTCAGAAGCCGTCGACCATATATTTGTCAATCGTTTGGGAATAAACTCGCTCATCCGAGAGGCTTTGCAAGCGAGTGATTCCGATGACCTGGGAAGACTTGTTCACCGATATGGAGGGATTCCAGTTGGGAGTTTCTTCCATCCTCAAGGTAATCATCGACAGCTCCTCGCTATCCTCGGTAAAACATGAGCCTGTGCTCCAGGAGCGTCTTCTAATACCCGCGAACGCAAAACATCAAATCTCTCTTTCAGGTTTCGCTCCTCTTATGCCGAGCGTCGCCCACGCCATTCTCTTGGACATGACGCACGACAATCCGTCTCCGTACGAAATCAGGAGCATATACGATTTCCTGCCGAGCGCCGCGTTGGTCTCGATGGCGGCGTGTGCTACGGGCAGCAGTCGTGGATACGACGAACTGGTTCCACATCACATTCACGTCGTTCATGAAGATCGTCCATTCCAAAGCCTCGATGAAGCAAAAGATCGAGGCATCATGGAAGCCAAAAAAATTCTCAACGATCTTCATCATCAGCTGGGTCTTGAGGGTTTCACTGAGGTCTACGTTGATCGTCTCGATGCCGACACCGTGTCCGTGACCAGGCGCTGTTCCCTCACCGACGAATCGGTGATTTTGGTGGCACGCACATCATTCCGCAACCCTCGAGACCCGAAGGAAATCGCCCACCTGAAACCTCTTCAAGTTGCCGGTGAGTCGAGCTGTTCCTCGATTTCAGAAACAGGGAGGAAGATTAGAGAGCTCGAGATGTCCCTTCATCGATCGAACATCTTTCTTCATAATCCGATGATTTCTTCAGGTCAAATTCGAAGCGTCATCATCGACGCTAGGCTCGTGAAGAAATGGAGCATCAACAACGGATTCGCAAGGAACTCGACTGTCATTAACGGAATCGAGGAGTTCGAATGTGCAGTGAAGTCAAATATTCCTCTGTCCGAGTGTTCCACAGTCCGAGTGGAGGAATTCGATGAGGGAGACAGATGTGAAATCCATTTCGTTGATCTTACACCCGGTTCAGTTGTGGCCTTCAGGTGAGAAAATAATCGAAACTCTCATCATCGGCATCTCCATTCTCGAGAGCTCGTTCGAATTATAAGGGAATGATAATTATAATGATCATAACGAAAATTCAATTATAGGGTGGGAGTGGGCCGTTCAGCGAGATCCTTCATGGAGAACGCTCGGACCCTCTTGAAACCTTTCGGATACTTCGGAGGTGTTCCACAAGTTCCTCAGTCGATCCGAGCTTGCATCGACAGACTGGACCTGGACGACCTGAACCGGATCCTCTTTCGTAGCGATCAGGAGGAGAAATCCGATGGTCTGGGCTTTGGAGCCTACAACCTCAACAACGTTGGCCCAATGAACTATTGTGGTTTGCAAGGTTCGATCAGGGAGAGAAAACGTGTCCGAGTATTTTCGTGGATTTTCGTATCTGGGGACTCTCATCTGAAGCAATTTTTTCATTCCAGGCGTCATGACCCATCTGATGCACATACGCCCGAGGAACGACCTTGGCCACCCGCTATGCTCAAACATCCGTGAAGGCGACTGGTTGATCGATTACATGGTCAACCGGCTCCGCCCCCACAAATCATGCAATGAATTCGCCTCCCTGCTCGAAGAGATGCTCAGACCGGTCAAGAATATCCCTCATTATCTAAAACCGTGTTATTTCGATGCGGTGGTCACGGCGCTATACAATCAGCTCCTCGAAGCGATTTGGCGCAAAATGTCGAGGTCGGTAATGTCTATCCAATGTTTTCCCGAGCCCCGATCGGATTTCGGAAACTTCCCCGAAATCTGGCAACTCCAACAACACAGCCCGACAGCCAAATCGCTACTATGAAAGTGATAGCTATTCCGGGTAAAACGGGGGCGCTGAAACCGAATTTCGTAACTAGATTTTCTCCATCAGGTCCAGTTTTCCCGAAATTTCAATTTTTCGATTTTTTGCCATTTTTCGTCTATAAAATTCTCTAACTCTGCCTTTGAGTGGACTAGATCGATGAAACTTCGGTGGCGGATAGAGCTCGGTGAGGGCTATACCTGGCCGAGTTTTGGTGCGATTCGTAGCAATGGTCTCTGCGCTAGAGGCATCGGAAACTCCAAAAAGAAGAAAAAGTGGGAGAGGGACCTCTTGGAAAGCACTTGACAAAAAACTAGGACCTTTGAAGCCGTCTTTCCTCGATAGAGGAGGCTTTCACGAGCATTTTGAGACCAAGCAGAGCAGAGAATGGTCGATCCATTCAGTTTTTATTCATGGTTTACTCGAAACACCGAAAACGTCCGATTTCACTTGGGGTCGATCAATCCGCACCAAATCGAGCCTTCAGCGATTGTCTAGAATCTGGTCGACCAGAGGCTCGCCTAATGGGGTTCGAGCAATAGTCAGCCATCATAGACTCATCCCACCTCCCTTGATATCGCTCCTCATGGTGCTGATGTCCTGATGGAACCTTTCGCCTTGCCCGTCGCTCATCGCCCCTATATTCTCAGGGAAGTTGTCACGGTGGGCGTGGAAATAATGGACCTTGATACTCATTCAACATCCGAGAACGCGGAAGCTTTCTAGAAGTCTCTGCACCAGCGTAGTTGGAAGCTCTCGTGTTCCCCAAGAAATTCGTGGCGACTGAGACGGAGGATTCCCAGGCGGCGGCTTCCTCCGGGTTCATCGATTCAATGAAACTTGGGTCCTTCATGAGTCGCCGGATCTGCGGCCCGTTCCCGCTAGCAGTTTCTGTTTGCTCACGGAATGAAGCTTCTGGACTATGTATTCGAAGCGAGCACCGTCTTTCCTGAGTGCCTTCACGAACTGCTTCATTGATCCGAGCTTGATATGCAACGGCTATATGGATATCTTATCCACCGGGACGAGAGCAGAGGAATTCCGTCTTTTTGGCTTCCTCAAATTCTCAATGCTTTGCGAATAAAAACTGAATGTATCGACCGACTTTGCTGTGCTTGATCTCAAAATGCTCGTAAAAGCCTCCTCTATCAGAGTGTCGAGGGAAGACGGCTTCGAAGGGCCTGGTTTTTTGTCAAGTGCTTTCTAACAGGTCCCTCTCCCACTTCTTTCTTCTTTCTTTGAGTTTCCGATGCCTCTAGCTCAGAGACCATTGCTACGAATCGCACCAAAACTCGGCCAGGTGTAGCCCTAACCGAGCTCTATCCGCCACCGAAGTTTCATCGATCTAGTCCACTCAGGGGCGGACTTGGAGAATTTTATAGACGAAAAATAGCAAAAAATCGAAAGATTGAAGTTCCAGAAAAACTGGACCTGAGAGAGAAAATCTGTTAAGAAATTCGGATTCAGTGCCCCCGGTTTACCCCGGAATAGCGATCACTTTCTTTGTAACGCGAAAAAAATTCTTTTTTGTCGAGCTGTTTTTAATTCAAGACGTAAATTCAATTCCAGCTTCGTTTCTCGCGGATCGAACTTCGTTCGGCAAATTTCATTAGCGTCAGTGATTCTGACGGGATTCGTCTGCGATTCGCCGTTGCCGCCTCTCAGCTCGGAACTCGACCCGCCGGCGCCCCTCAAACTCGATATTCACTCTTCTGATATCTCTGAGGAATGCCCGACGCTCGCGGCTGGCCTGCCGCATTTCTCGACGGGCTACATGCGAAACTGGGGTCGAGACACCTTCATTTCTTTGCGGGGTCTGCTTCTCTTGACCGGCAGGTTCTCGGAAGCTCGGTGAGTGTCGAATGCGGAAGATTCTGTTGTTTGTCTCCAAAATTCCAAGATGATTGCGTGTTTTCCGTGGCGAGAGGAGCGTCTCCGTATGGGCTACTGATTCCGATGATGAACCGCGCTCACGATTTCTCAATGTCCATTTGAAGGTCGATAATTCTTGGCTTCGCCGGAACCTTGCGACACGGTCTGATACCGAACCTCTTGGATCGCGGGACCAACAGTCGATACAACTGCCGCGACGCTGTTTGGTTCTGGCTGGAGTGTATCAAGCAATACGCCCAGATCGTGCCACAGGGAGAACTGATTCTCCGAGACCCAGTTTCAAGGCTCTACCCGCAAGACGATAGCGAAGCACTCCCCGTTGATTCTGTGGTGAGTATCGAAAGACCATCTCCTAGATCTGGATCCGCGATGCGATGGAATTTCCTTTCTCGATCAACATGAGACCGATTTTCAATCGAATAATGTGTCTCATGCTTCCAGGTGATGCCTCTGTACGACGTCATCCAGGAAGCGCTCCAGAAACATTGGTCAGGGACCAGTTTCCGGGAGAGAAATGCGGGTACGAGGATCGACTCCCAAATGAAAGACCCAGGTTTCAACGTCAGTTTCGGCGTCGACCACACGACGGGCTTTGTTTTCGGGGGAAACGAATTCAACTGCGGCACGTGGATGGACAAGATGGGCAGCGTTCCCGGCAAAAACCAGGGAATCCCAGCTTCGCCCCGTGACGGTTCCGCCGTCGAGCTCGTCGGGCTCTGCAAGTCAGTAATCTCATGGCTCCACGAGAAGCATGCGGAAGGCATCTACCCCTATGCCTCGGTAGAGCTCGAAGGTGCGTTGAAATCCACTGACATTCCTAGATAGTGCGTTCCATCAATCCTCTTCGATTTGGACACATATCGATCTATTTCTAATAATTTATCCAACCACAGGATCAGAAACGACCTTCGCAGAGTGGTCAACCCGGATTCAGACTCATTTTGAATCCTGCTTCTTCGTTCCCGAAGAAGGTGCCGGGGCTTTCGATCAGAGGCCGGACCTCATAAACCGACGTGGAATTTATAAAGACACGTTCGGATCGAGGCAGCCTTGGGCGGACTATCAGTTCCGCCCGAACTTCACCATTGCCATGGTCGTGGTAAGTTTGGTTTTTCTTTCCGAAGGAGAGGAGGAGAAGAGCGCTCATGGAATGCACAGCGTCGTTGATTCGAATCAGGGAGTTTCATGTCTTAATTCGATTTTCCCTGCAGGCACCCGAGCTTTTCGATGTGCAACACGCACGGGGAGCTCTGTCGCTAGCCGACCGAGTACTCAGAGGACCCTTAGGCATGCGGACGCTTGATCCGAGGGATATGACCTACAACGGGAATTATAACAACAGCGACAGCGATGCTGGCTTCAATTATCACAGAGGCCCGGTAAGAACCGCGAGACGTCGATGTCATGAATCTATCGAACATTCCATTTGAGCTGGACAAGACTTTTCTAGCTCGCATCTCTGATGCGAGGCTTAATGTATCTAGATAAGATGGGGGATATTCTTCTTGTAGATAAGATTACTCAGATCTGTTTCTCTCCACAGGAATGGCTCTGGCCAACTGGATACTTCCTCCGAGCGAAGCTGTCTTTCGCGACAGATCCGCAGGCTGCCCGGAGTGAAATTCGCCGGTGCCTGCAACCGCATCTTGGGGCTCTTGAGAATTCCCCGTGGAGGGGTTTGCCCGAGTTGACGAACCAAGACGGCGCTGAGTGTCACCACTCGTGCCCGATTCAGGCCTGGAGCCACAGCTGTCTGTTAGAAGTGATGCATCAGCTCCATGACTAATCGTCTCCTCCAAGGCGATCCTTCCGGGTTGGCACCGTTCATGAGGTGCAGCGGAATTCCCCAGAACATCCGAGGAGGCGTTATCCGACGTGAGAGGACTAGCCATTCTGGAGAAAACGCAGATTTTCAATTCCGGGATGGCTGAGAAGCCAAGAATAAACTCATCTGCTTGTGTCTACCTCATGAAAAAGACGATCTTATTATTATGGATAGACCCAGAAGTTTTCGTCTTGTCCCTTAGACGAATTTTCTTGATCATCGTCGTGTTAGACCTGATGGATGTGGGTCTTGATCGGGTCTCAGAAGCCGGTTTGAAGCATTTATCAATCGATCCGGCATCAGTGATGCCGCATCACCGATTCTATGCGGAGTTCGGAAGAAAATGACATAGGCGCTTTCTCACTTAATAATGTCCGGTCGTCGTATCAAACTTGTCTGACCAAAACTGGTCAGGTGTTGTGGATGGTTGGAGAGAATTCGAAGGTGACAGGACGTTCCCACAGCGGCACAATTTCACCAGTAGGGAGATTTGAGTTCAGGCACTAACACTCGGATGCAGGATCGAGGAATCACTCGAGCAGAGGTTTCACAAAACAGTAGTTTATCCTATGAGACTGGGGTGTTCCTATTCTAGATTCTCGTAGAGAGAAGGGGAAGCCTAAGTTATACCTAGAGCTTCTCGCTGGTTGAAGAGAGCGCACCCCCGTACATTCTAACAACCCGCGTCTTTCATTTATGCCGGTGCCTGTATCGATTCCGCAGCTGGGGAGACACCCATCGCCGTACACTTATGGCGCCACGAGGTCCAATCCTGGTCTTGATGCCGACTCAGATGGGATTCCTTTGTTCTTGCGGTTCATCAGAGTATCCTCCGCTCGAGGATCTCCCAACCGGCTCAGAGATCTTAGGTCTCTCTCGATAACTACGACATTTCTTTGATATCACGAGTCCTCCGAGAGGAATCTTTCCGATCAACATGATCGCTTGGAGTTATCGCTATCTAACATATTCCATGCTCAACAAAACTCAGTCAATATGAAACGCAAAATATTATATCAAGATATGAGATCATCCTCGCTGGGCGCAGCCGCTACTAACACTCCCGAGATTACCCGGTTAGACGCTCAGATACGGTTATGTTTTGGAGCCTGCCTTGAAAGATAGTTTTTCGAGACTGAGTACCCGATGATTATCCTGGGATCTCCTCCCGTATGCCGAGGACAGACAAGGACACTTCCAGATCCTCTTGACGGCTCTCCCCACCCGCCCTGATTCTCTCTCGTCCAAGGTCTCGCGGCGTTCATTGAGTTCCAGGTCTTATGGGAAGGCCTGCCAGCCGTCGCCGTCGTATGTCCCTAGAAAAAGCTCCGTGGATGCGATTCGCTGACCGCCGCAATTTATTCTCCTAAATATTTCCTCTTGTTACAGGAACAATAATTCCATTATTTGCTCATAGGGTCGATGGCCAATCATCCGATTCCATCGATACACACGAGACTTCTGCGAGAGCAACACGACGCCGACGGCCAAGTAGACTTGATACTTTGATATTCGGCGTAGCGCACCGGAGTGAAGGATTTGAGGCAATCCCCGTGGACACGGCCATTTGCCAAAGAAGAATCGCTCACTGTCATCAATTTCCCTCATTGTCGTTCGGTGAAATCAGCGAGCCGCGGGCTTGAAATCGATTTCGGACCCGAACTCTCCAGTTTGCAACATGAACGGAGAGCTTTGTCGCAAGCCGATAAGGTTTTCGGAGGACCAGCAGGCTTGTGTACTTTTGATGCGGAGGACATGACTCACAAGGGAAACCAACAGCAACAGCGATGGCAGCTCCATATATCACAGAGACCCGGTGATCGACTCTGCTCCTCGGCAGTGGCATGTCATGAAACACAGGTTCATCATATAAAACACCGAAGCACATCGAATTCTCCGCGTCTCTTCATCAGAAGACATACAAATCTTCACCCTTGCATCATTACCTCACGCGAGACTCCGCAGCGAACGAATTGAGAAGAACATTTTTTTTCCTTGTTAGAACTATTTTAGATTCATTCGGGAAACATTTCTCAGTAACTTGGCTGTCTCGAGCTTCTGTATCCGGCGATTCCGAGCACGGCTGACGCCTCGCTGCACCGAATTCAGGCCAGTCCAGGAACATCGCGTCCCGCCAGGAAGCGCCTCACGCCTGTCTCGGACGGAGCTGCCTTCGCGTCTTCAAGCTTGCGCACTCGTTAACGACACACACACACCACACGAAACAATCAGCATACAACACGCACAGCAGAGATCGGGGTTCAAATCCCGATTGAGGGTTCAAATCCCGAGCGTACCCCCAGTTTCTCCCGACGATCGGAGGCTAATTTCCTCCATCGCATCTCCCAGTGCATCATTTCCAGGAGATCCCCGTTTAATCCGAGTCTCTCCCGGTCGGATAATCTTGTGCAGCGCACTCCTTTTGAACTCAACAAGTGCAAACCTTGTGTCTCTGTCATTCATTCCATCGAGGTTCAAGCCTCGATCGTGAGAGCAGGGCTCATGAATTGAGGAAGTTCGGGCGAGGTATCTAGCTAGTTCAACGATAGGGTTGAATAATAAAACATTCGTTTCAGCTCTGAGCATGGAATGTACATAATAATGCTCCTTGAGGATGACTTTGATGAAACGAGGATCGCATACCAGGTAGTTATTGACATAGTTGCGGATGGCATCAGCGAGGCGATTGTACAGGGAAATCGAGTGCGGGAGGGGAGCCTTCCTGTTGCCTGATTTTACGATGGTGGAACAAGGCAGCAGACCAGTGGCTTTCAAACGAGTGGAATAATTGTGACGGAGTCTAGGCAGAGCCGACAAGGAAGGGTGGAGTGCGACTAGGCCTCGCAAATAACCGCCAATTCCGGAAACCGCGGTATGCGATCAATCCAAAACCGCAAATTGAAAACCGCGGTTTAAATCAATTAAAAATCGCACTTTCCTCTGGAGCTTGCCGAGCCTCAGAATGAGCATAATATATGCTGCTCTTCATTAAGTCTCCTCTGAACATTATCTCCATCTCGATCTGCACAAATTGTGACTCGGATGGCTAACGTAAGGATTTATTTACGAACGAGGAGGCGACCAGTAAGGCACAGAATTCCGCTTCGTTGGACCAATTTCTACCCGTATAAGTTAGTTCCCACTGCTATCGCTCCCTCGGTATGGAACTCCTAGATCCATCGGTGTTTCAATTCTTGTTCTCTGATTTCTGCTAGTAGAACTTCCTCAGAATGAAGATGTTGTCCAGCGTTCGAGGCTTGAGACTGGCCCTGTTCTCCCCCAGCAGAAGCCGGACAACGCTAAAATCTCGCTCGGCTTGAACAGAAGTCGGCGGGATCGATTGTCGAAGTTCCAGGTTGCCTCCGAGTAATGCCCGAGCTGCGATCCGGGCGAAGGGAGTCTGTCTCGATCGCTATCGGCAGGCCAGAAATGAACCGTAACGGCCCTTTCCCTCGGATTGGAGACGCGCTTGACGGGACATTCAAGCTCTATGTGCAGACATCGAATTTCGTGAATCGTTTCAGGCGGTTGAACATCAGAGGGGGAGCCGCGAAAATTTATATGCTGCGGCACGCTGCGTTACAGATCTTACGACAAAACTATGCCGATAGCCTCTGGCCCTGGGCGTTAGCGAGAGTTTTCCAGACTCTTCCCTCGCTGCCTTAGACTACCCCGGGAAATTAGCGATTAATCGCGGTTATGGCCGCAGAAGCTGCGGTTAAAAAACCGCGGGAATTCGCGGTTATTGCGATTAATTAACCGCGGTTAAAAATCGCTGCGAGGCCTAAGTGCGACCATGAGGCTAAAGGCGTAAAGCTGCCTCAATTCGAGTATACCAAGAGAGGAGAAAAGCAGAGCTGAATGAGCGATACGGTCAGCCTCTGTTTTGAATCAGCACCTCATCGTGGACGCGCATCCTCTAAAGAACATCCGGCACGCTCTCGATAATATAGGAGTCGGGAAGCGTTTCACAAAGCTGGATATTTCGAACGCGTTCCTACACATGCCCGTTCGTGACGAAGATCAGAAGTTCCTGACAATAAACACTCATCGAGGCTTGTATCGCTTCAAGCGAATGTGCAATGGATTGGCTTCGGCCCCCGCTATATGGCAGCGGTTCATGGAAAGTACTCTCGCCGGGATCGACGGAGTTGAGGTCATCATAGATGACATCGTCATTTCTGCAGCTACGGATGAAGAACATCTCCGAAGATTAGAGTCCGTACTGAAGCGTCTCGACTCCAACGATATCCGTTTGAACCATTCGAAATGCGAATTCTTCGCCGAGGAAATTAAATTCTGCGGCTTCCGACTGCGGCATGAAGCAATCCACACATGTGACGATAAGGTATCAAGTTTCAGAAACGCACCGCGACCGCATTCGGTCACGGAATTGAAAAGTTTTATGGGAATGATACAATTCTACTCGTCATTTGCTCCTCAACTGGCCGACCTTGCACACCCCCTGTACAAAGCTTTCAAGAATAACGGCACGCAGCGTTTCATCTGGTCCGAGGATATGGACCGAGCTTTCGAAGCTGTCAAGTCGGAAATGTGTTCTCCGCGGATTCTCGTCCCGAAAAAGGTTTTACTGCTAGCGACTGATGCGTCATCTTACGGCATCTCCGCCGTACTCTCTCACAAATACGACGACGGCTCCGAGAAACCTATCGCTTACTACTCCAGAACGCTGAATGAGACTGAGAAGCGCTACACGCAACTCGAGAAGGGGGCCCTTGGGATAAAGGAAGGTGTCAGCAGATTTTTCTACTATTTGTTCGGTAGGAGATTCACGTTGATAACTGATAGTAAACCATTGGTCTCTATACTCTCACCATCGAAGGCGTTGCCGCCGCTTGCGGCTATGCGCATGACGAATTATAGCATGTTCCTTCAGCCCTTCAACTACAACATCATCTACCGTAATACGAATGAACATGGAAACGCCGACATGTTATCCC